AAAAGTATTTTTCCAACTTTTAAATAGACTCTCATAAAAGTGTCATTAATAATAAAATTAAAGTAAGTGTTTAAGCGATTTATAATATTTTGTTAAATTACCGGTAATTAAATGTTTGTCTTTTATATGATTACAACAGTTGCTGTCAGTTATGGAAAGAGTTGGCAGTAATCAGCGATTGATAGGCTTTTCGTGTGGAAACCAATTCTTTATGACTCCTTATAATGCATTCAAAGTGAGGCTTATATTCATTTGAAAATTATATCTAATTATATTATATTTATATAATATTAATTAATTATATTTTGTATTTAGATTTACGTTATATTCTTCCGATTCTTTATTTTAATTCAACGATTGGTTAAAGTCATGGATTAAAAAATATTTCTATACTTATAGATAAAAATATTTATTATCTATACTTTTCCATAGAAAACAAATAAAAATAAAATACAAATGAAAATCTAAGTGTTTGTTTCAATGAAAGTACGTAATATTATATATAAAAACAATATACCAAAAGTCTTATTACATGCAAATTTATAATTAATGCTACAAAAATCACGTAAATGACTTTATCATAGATACTATAATGTTATTATAGTTTACTATTTTATTTTTAGAAACCAATATACTGTATTTATACTTTTTATTGTTATTTATTATTAGAAATCATAGAGAGTTCAAAGATATTCTTATAAAAAATGGATATTTATTTATATTAATATTTTGTATATAAAAACTAGTTAAAGTCTTCAAATATTTACATACATTGTAAAAATGGGGATATTTTACAAAATGTTAAAATATATGCCTAAATATTTGTATAGAAAACTGGACATCGATTTAGATAAAAGTCTTATGAATGATAATGCCATTACTGATATCCAACAACTCTTTGATTCAAATATTGTTTATAAATATAACACTAATTATGATACTTTTTATAGTAAACTAAAGTTAAAAAGTTTTTATATTTTACTATTCTTTGTGTTTCATGTTATCAAATATATTAAACTAATTATAATACAAATAAATAGTGAGAATATTCCTGAATATTATCTGGATTTTGTGCAAAACTTTGGCGGTTTAGTCGCTGTATTTCATTTGATAGGCTTTTTCATATCACTATTAATACTCGGATATTGTCTCATATTTTTTAATTCAACCGATAATGACATGAAATGGTTATTACCTTTTGATGTCTTAAAAGGTGTATTACCACTAAAACACTTATGTATTGATAATAAATATTACGTAAAGATGTTTATACAGTATTCATATTTAGTACACTATTCGGTGAAACTTACTGTACAAAGTGCCAGGCTATTTCTCACTCTTATGACTATATTAATGCTAATAATTGGTTATGATTTAAAATCTTTACTAATATATGGATTATTATCGGGACTTATGTTTTATTTTTGGGTCACATATTCAGTGATAATCGCGTATATAATAGTCGAGTATTTTATAATTGTATGTATTTATTGTAAACTACGGACAAAATCATTAAATCAATATACAGTTAAACTTTTTAGAAATAATTTTATCTCGGATATAATGGTTGAAAAACTTTTGAACAAATATGACAAAACATTTCAAATTATTAATGATTATAATATAATGTGGAAAAAGTTATTTTTTGTATTGATATACGCGGACATACCATTCCTACTATTCATGTTAAATCAAATAATGTTTGAAAAGTTGACCGCAATTTTAATGCCAGCCATACTTGTGGTGATGACCAGTATTTTATTATTTATCTGTATTTTTACAATCGCTGTCTCAGTATTAAAAGAAGTGAAATCATCGGAAAAACTATTTGTGTATCTATTAAACAAAATTTCAGTCAACGGTTTAACTAATAGTAGGATTAAAGTAAGTTATTAAATGTTAAAATGTGTGTAATTTTTAATTTTTAAATTTTTCTGAAAGTTATTGACTTTTATGGAAAGAGTGGCTAATAATCAACGATTGATAGGCTTTTCGTGTGGAAACCAATTCTTTATGACTCCTTATAATGCATTCAAAGTGAGTATAAAAATCTTGTATTTATAATAAATTAATTTATATCGTGTGTTCACTATATTTATAATTTTTATTGCCATAGATTTATGTATTGTTTATTCGATTCTTTATATTAATCAAGAAATTCACAAAAACAATGGTTTGATTGCGATTTCTCAATAACAATAACATTGGCTACACTACATCTTTGTGATCACATACACGGCATTTGAATATTTTATCATAATTTGTATTTATTGCAAAGTCTGTATTAAATCTATTAATCGTAATACAGATGTATTGATTGAAAACACTTTTGTTACGAAGACATCGATTAATAAACTTTTAGAGAGATATGAAAATATATTTAAAGCAATTTATAATTACAATGACTTTTGGAAAAGAGTTTACTTTATATTCATCTACACATACATATCGTACCTATTATTAGCTTTACATCAGATATCGTTTGAATCCCTGAATATGACATTAATACCCTGGTTATTGCATTCACATTTGCCACCATATCTGTGGTATTAATCAGTTGATCACATCTTCAGTATTGAAACACAAGTAAAACAATCGAAGAAAATATTTTTCCAACTCTTCACGAAGTTTACGACTAAATGTTTTATTAGTAATAAAATTAAAGTAATATATTATTGTATTATTAAATTATTTTATTGTAAATTACTGTATTCATTGACGTAAACTCACGTTTTAAATGTTTATTATTTTGAACCCCTTTTGTAGTTATTAACGGCTACGGAAAGAGTGAGTAGTAATCAGCGATTGATAGGCTTTTCGTGTGGAAACCAATTCTTTATGACATCTTTTAATGCATTTAATGTAAGATTTACTGTATTTGTTATTAAAACTAAATATTTAGTATTATTAGATGAGTTATACTAATTAAAAGTAATATATTTATACTAATTTTGTTTATTTCTTATTGTTTTAGATTTATATTCTATTCTTTTGATTCTTTATATGAATCCAACGATTGGTAAAAGAAATGAATTGATTTGTGATTTTGGATACAATCATAAATACATGTAGACAATTATATATAGTACCTGTATTATATTATAGAAGTATTAGAAATATAGAGTACTGTATATGAAATATAATTGTACATCGTTTGATATAATCAAAAATGTTATCATTTTAAAAGTAAGAATAAAATAAAAGCTAATTAGCAATTACCGTTAAATAGACAGTGTTTTATAATAATTGTAAAAAGCATACTAATTATCATATTTAGCCTTCAATATGAAAATAATCAAATGAGGCATTTAATATATATAACTATAAATTAAATGATATGCACTCAAAATACCTATTAACACAACATTAAAATAAAGTTATTAATAATGTAAACTTACTACATTGCAATGAATAGAAAATATACTGTACAATGTATTTATTATTCAATCATTTTAATAAATTCAAAATAAATATTTGTTTAATTCATTCATAGATTCTAGGTATAGATAGTTAAAATAATATATTTTGCATGAAATGACATTTAGAATACAGTATATTTGTGTAATGTTTTTAATATTGAATATCATTTTCTATAGTATTAAGAAAAGTGAATTATAGTAAACATTAATAAAGTAAAAATGAAAAATTATTTTGCCATAAGATTTCATAGTTTTAAAGTGTTTAAACAAAATAACATTCAATTAAATGAGTGTTTGTCTCCACTAATAGTCATCAATGATATCGAGATGCTGTTTGATTTGGGATTAGTGTATAAATATGATAATAATTTAATTCAAAAATTCAAATCAATTACTGTGTTCATATTTTTCATAATTAGTTCATTAAGATATATATTATATGCATTTATAACTCATAAAAATGGTTACATTTCTCACTATTACTTTGATTTAATGCAAGAATTTGGAGGATTTGTACTATTTTTTCATATTTTAGGACTAATTGTCTCAGTATTTGATTTTGGGTATTGTTTTGTATTTCTAAGCTCATCACAAGTCTATATGAAATGGTTATATGTATTCAAAGTATTGAAAGGAGTTTTATCGTTGAACCGATTGTGTATTTATGACAAACATAATGTGAAAAAATTTATTCTAACCTCAAATTTAATTCACTATTTTGTCAAATACATGATTATAACCGTTAGATTTGCATTTTTACTGATGACTATATTTATAGTATTAATCCGATACGAGTTTCAAAATCAATTAACATATGGCTTACTATCTGGACTAATATTTTATCATTGGTTGCACTACACGGTAATTGTCACATACATTACAATAGAGTACTTCATAATAGTCTGTATTTATTGCAAAATTCGTGTCCAATCTGTGAATCGTATGACAAATATATTGATTGACAACACATTCGTTACGAAGGCATCGATTCTTAGGCTTTTGCAGAGATATGAAAATACTTTTAAAACTATTCACGAATTCAATGAGTTCTGGAAAAGAGTTTATTTCATAGTCCTCTACACATACATACCGTTCCTCTTGTTATCATTGCATCAGATATTGTTCGGTGCGTTGGATATGATATTCATACCACTGGTGATGGCATTCACTTTCGCCTCGATATTCGTGTCATTCATTAATTTGATCACATCTTCGGTACTCAATGAAGCAAAACGATCGGAACAGCTGTTTGTCAGACTGTATCTTACGGTCAATTCACTCAGAGATCCTAATATTAAACTCAAAGTAAGTGTAGAATCATAAGAATATTCTGTAGGATTAGAATAACTGCTATAAAAATATTCTTTATTATTAGTAATACTGTATTACTATATTTAATGATAGAATATTCTGTATTATTAAGAATATTGTGTTAATTGTGTGAATCTAATGGTTAACTGTTATGATAGTTGTTATCACAGATGGAAACCATTGGCAATAATAAGCTGTCGATTGGCTTCTCGTGTGGGAATCACTTCTTCATGAATTCATTGAACGCTTTCAAAGTATCTAAAAGTTTGTCTAAAAGCCTCTAAATGTCTATAAATGGTGTGAATTGTCTATACATTAGGTTTACGTCATATTCTGTCGGGTCTTCATTTTGACACAACGACTGTCCGAAACTATAGCTGCAAACAGTGCTATCAATTAGTGCACAAAATGCACTCATTTTCTACTCAAACCTCAATTTAATTGAAAAAAGCTATAATTCATTGATAAATACTTCGACACCAAAAACAATACACTATTAGTTATCATATAGTTGTTTGCATACTAGTGGTATGGACAGGGAGGGGGTCTTTAGTTACGAAACAAGTATACCCAGGTAGAAATATATATACCCAGGTAGAAATATATATACCCAGGTAGAAATATATATACCCAGGTAGAAATATATATACCCAGGTAGAAATATCAAAGTCATTACTTGTCTACATGAATTTATTATCTGATAGACAGTCCAATATAGTTATAATATACAGTACTATTTATACAGGATTTATGTTTACAGTAACTACTATACAGTAGTATTGCAAACTGTATGCACAAATTATTATTAATACACCAAATAGTGGACAGTATTTATCGGTTGTAAATAAACTATTTTATATAATAAGTCTACACTTTGTGTGCAAATATTTGGTGTTTTGAATCGTGAGTACATGTGTTGCTTATAACGTGAGTGGACTGTATGGGTGCCGACCACTCAATCACACGACTGTATGACTGACTGAATGTATGACTCAATGAAAGCTTTAGTCAAACGATATGTCAAACCATTGACTCAATTGTGGCACAGATTTGGCACAAAATGATGTCTCGTTTGCAGCCAAACGGCGGTTATTATCGTCGCAATGGACCCGAAGTGACCCAAAGGTTGTGGACATGTCTTCGCAAGACATCCGGCTATGAGACCAACAGAAGACAATTCATGTCCAAACTGTGGCTACAGAACAGCGATGTCTTCGCCGACGAGAAGCACCTGAAGACCGTTGTGGACAACGCTTTGGACGACCGACTGGTCGCTGAAGACAAGGTGTTGTCGTCGCCCAACACTTCCCGCGGCTATCGATTGGTGCCATCGATGGACAGACGACGACTCTTCGCCGATCAGACCAGCGATTGGTATTGCTTTGAGTGCCACTCGTGTGAACCCGATCTGCCACTAATGGCATGCAAGTCGTGCTTCAGAGCCATTCACGAGAAGTGTATCCATTCCTCGGAAGCGGCCATCAGTGGTGAGACAATCGCCACTCAATCGTCGGATAACAAGACTGTTGTGAACACCGAAGAGTTCGAGTGTCAGTACTGTCGCCGCAAAACAATGGTCTACCCGTTGGCCGACTCGCGAGTGGCCGACCGTTTGGATCAGATGTCGGCCGAAGAGATGCGGGAATTGATTAAAACGTTTTACGCGACACTCGAGTCAAGTATGGCTTCGGAGGTCGATGTCTACCAACGGTTCCCATTGGCGATGACGGCCGAGACATCGGTCCATATCTTCTATTACATGGATTTACCGCTAATTCGGCGCAAAGTCTTTGAACTCCAGAACTACACGACATTCGCTGAACTCGAGTCCGATTTGAGACACTTTTGCCACAACTTCGCGGTCATCAACGGTCAGCAACTGATCCGCCCGTTCGTCGACGGCCTGAACGCTGAGCTCAAAGAGTTGACACATTGTCTCACGTGTTATCTCTACTCGAGAGCGCCGGTGGATCAGCGCCTGGAGCCCGAGGACTGGTTCACGCGTGTGTGTCAACCGCCCCACCGTTTGGTTTACGCCAAGGTCTCGAACTACCCATACTGGCCCGCGAAGGTCATCGAGTGGCGCCGGGAGTCTAAGGAATGTTTGGTTCAGTTCTTTGAACCGAAGCTCTTCTGCAGAGCTGTGGTCACCGAAGACAAGACCAAAGATATTGAGTACATGTTTGACGCCAAACACGTGATGAACGGCAAGATGAACACCTCTTTCGCACTCCTCTGCAAACATTTATCTAATTTAAGACAATTTGATCCCAATTTCCAATACGAGAAGACACTGAACCGTTTGCAACGATTGCTGTCCAAAGAAGTCCACAAAAAGGTATTTTTATTCAAATATTGATTTAGTTTTTACTTATTTTGTCATTAATTTGTGTTTTGTTTTGCATTTTCAGAAGAGTAAGAGTCTAATGGGTCTGAAAGTTGAGACGAATCTGAATCCCAAGAATGAGACCATGAATTCATTGAAGAGGAAGTGGTCTAAAGAAGTGGTCGATAGATATGACTTATCTGTGGATCAGTTGCCAGACATTAGCGATAGTTTCTATGATAAAGTGGTTAAACAAATGAATGGAAACACAAATGGTTTGTATTTGCAATGAATTATAAAAGAGTTAAAGTTTTCATTAAATTTTATGGTTTTAATAATGGCTTGAATTTTGTAAATAGTGACCACTACTTGCGAATTGGCGTCCAGTAGTGGCTCAGACACTGACCGCCCGGATCAGGTGTTGACCCCACCAGTGAATAGTGGTGTGAAAAAGGTTGCGTTGGATTTAAGTCGAAATAAAAAGGACACAACTTCTGAGCCGCCGTTTAAACGCCTCAACGCTCACAAATCGGTCCAAAATAAGGCCATCAGTACTACCGAACCATTGCCTCAAATCAGTGAAAGTGATAAGAAATTAGACGTTCAGTTCAAAGACACCCACAGCCAAGGTTTGCATTGACTTTGATTTTGTAAAATATATGATTTAATTGTGATTTTACTGAATGAATAGATGAACGCAATAAAGCATTGGAGGCGCTGTACGATCGCGTCAGTCTCGACCACCCGGACCTCCCGACCTACAAACTTATACGAGAGGGTAATCTCAATGTTAACCAGAAGTATAACTTATTAGTTGGACTTATGCAGAAATTTCTGACCCCTATTCTGGGCAAACGTTAGGTATGATTTGAAAATCAGTTCATTTTGTGTGATTTGTAGCATTTCTACGACTATTTTTCATTTCATGTCACTGTAGTTATGCTTTAGTTTGAAAGTTTTCTGTAATTATTTTATGAGTAATTGTTTTTATTATGTAATTATTCTTATTATCAGTTTAATGTCGATAATCAGTTTAACAAATTGTTTTCATTTGTTATAAGTTTTATTAATCAAATGTACAGTTTATTAAAATAAGAATTTATTTAAAATTATTATAAGTTTGTGTTAAAAGCATAAAACAATAAAATTATTATTAATTACAATTGTTTTAATAAATTATTTGATTAATGGGAAAACATAAAGTATGAAATGGTGTGTATGACAGGTATGAGTGTCAGGCTGACAGCTCAACATCAGGGGCCGACAGTTTGTGGCCACTAATAAAAAGGCGGTCAAACGTAGGGCCACTCATGAAGTTGAGAGACAATAATCTCTCGATTTCTAAGTCTGAGCTCAAGAATTAATTATCAATTTATTAAATAACTTATTTTATGTACAAATTAACTAGTGTATAATATTGTATTATTATTACAAAGCTTATATTATAAGATAAATGATTGCCGTATTTCATATTTAATTCATTGCAAATCTTAATTATATAAAAGTTTAATGTATAACTAGTAAGCTATAAATTAATAAAATGTTTGCAAACTTTTTGATAAATTAATATTGGTATGGGAAAAATATATGCTATTAAATAATGTGTATGACAGTGGGAACCATTAATTTTAGGTAATAGATAATTATAGATAATATATTATTAAATCTAATTAATTTCGTAGTATTAAACAGAATAAATATATTTATAGAATAGAAACTCCCGTTAATTGTATAATAAGTTATTTTTACAGATTTTATTAGTGGTAAACAATATCTTTAGATATCTTATGAATGCCAGACATAATGTTAAGTAAGAATTACTTTACTCTAAATATGAAACAACTTAAAGTGATTTTAAAATATAAATTAATTGCTAATTACTGGAAACAATTCAATCAACAAAATAATGTCTTAACCAACAAATTGCCTCAACTTTTGTCAATCGTTGACATCGAAAAAATGTTTGATTTGAATCTACTATTTAATCCTAATATTAAATATAAAAATAACTATAAATATGTTATATTTATGTTATATAATATGTTGAGTGCCATCAGATATTCATTGTATATCTTGTTGTGGATCAATGGTATGCCTCCACAGGAGTATTGGTTTGATTTCTTACAGATATTCGGAGGAATGGGATCTTATTTTGACATAATGGCAGTCAGTGTTTCGCTTTATATTTTCACGTCTTGCGCTATATTTTCATTTTCAACTAAACCTCAGATGAAGTGGTTGTCAATTCTTGAGGTATTGAAAGGTGTTTTACCACTGAATCAGTTGAATATTTATAACAAACAATGTGTCAAACGATTTATTATCATCTCATATTTAATACACTATTCATTTCTATACGCCTATCAAATCATGAGAATATTATACATATTAATGGCAATTATTTTATTGATACTAAATTATAATTTAGAAAATGGATTAAAGTATGGATTATTGTCTGCACTTTTGTATTGTCATTGGGTTTATTATACATACAAACGGTAAATACGGTATTAACTCATAAAATAATAACAGACACAAATAACATTTAAAGCACAGTTTAGATAAATGCTTTACTGTTTTCAAAATAGTCTTTTTCTCAAATATTTAGTCTTTTACCATTTTAAACTTCTTTGTGATTATAATAATACATTTAATGATTTCAACAATTTTAACACATTTTGGTTCTTTTAAATAAATTATTAAGAAATGTGTACATAAGGAAATTATAATAAAAATAATGTACTCTAGGACAAACCTCCCGATCTGCACAACCATTATTATTATACGAGATGATGTAAGTGATAATACTCAATCAGCTTATTATCAATCAATTTCATCACGTCTTCAGTACTTAATTCTGTGAATAATTTACACAAAATATGTTTTACTCTTCACTCGAGATTAGTATCGATGAGAAATATAGACTTAAAACTCAATGTAAGAAAAAGTTATCATTTAATTATGAATTAGTTTTAATTTGTAAAATTTGATATTTTCTAATTTTAGTTACAAAATGTTTTGGAAAGAGTTGGTAATAATCAGCGATTGATAGGCTTTTCGTGTGGAAACCAATTCTTTATGACTCCATTGAATGCATTCAGAGTAAGACTTATACAGTATTGTAATCAATAATTTGATTAACCATTGATTTGTTATTTTAATTGATTGGTATAGATTTGTATCGTATTCTGTCGATTCTTCATATTAATTCATCGGTTCTCACAGAAAATGGTTTCACATTAGAAAATGTATGTTTCAATTTGATTTCTTTAAACATAATATAATTTATACAAATAATACTAATGAATGTTTACAATGGCAATAATTTATGCAAATTTTACTGTAACATTATATAATAAGTAAATTCCTTGTTTTAAAAGAGAAAGATTGTATTTACATTTGCTATGTTTCTCGAAAGTCCTCATATACTGTACTGTAGTATAAATTACAAAGTTTTATTCAATTCTGTAATCAATATTATGTTATCATAATGTTAATACATAATTAAGACGAGTATTTAATTATTCTTCAATGTTAATTATTGAAATGTCAAATATGTTATAATAATTAGTATGATACCAACAGTACTATGGAATATATTAATATCTATATTCTATGATAAGTTTATTTTTCAAAAATTGAGAATTATTATCAAATAAAAAATTGTTTGAATCACCAATAGTTGTACATTAATAAATAATATATAATATACTATGGAAAATTTGACCATTAAAAATGAATGTTTAACAAAGTTTCATAATAATTGGAAAATTTTTAAACAAACACCACTCAATCTAAACAAGAATTTATCCCCAATTATGTCAATTGCTAACATAGACTATGTATTTCAATTGAATATGTTATACAAAAAGACATCCACTTCACGGATAAATTATAAATGTTATATATTTATATTATACTATTTAATAAGTTTAATCAGATATTTATTGTATATCTTAATGGTATTAAATGGTGTTTCATCACAAGACTATTGGTTTGATATATTGCAAAAGTTTGGTGGACTCGGTGTTTACATTGATATGGTTGCAGTTGCTCTAGCAAGTTTTATATTTTGCAGTTTAATTGTATTTTTAAACTCATCTAATGATGAGATGAAGTGGTTATCAATTCTGGATGTATTGAAAGGAGTTCTACCACTAAATCAGTTGAATATTTATAACAAACAACATTTGAAAAGTTTTATACTTTATTCAAACCTGATACATTATATAAGTGTATGTTTTTATAAGTCCATCAGAATATCATATTTTCTACTATTAATTTTTATGGTTTTCATTGCATATGATTTTGAAAGTGGATTCAAATATGGATTACTGTCTGCACTCATATTTTATCAATTTTGCTTTTATTCATGTTTTATTATTTATTCAATTCTTGAATACTTACTAATTGTTTGTATTTATTGCACATTTCGTATCAAATCAATTAATAAATCGATACATATATTAACAAAATATGAATTCCTATCGGAAAAAGTAATCTATAAACACATCAATGATTACAATAATTCATTTAAATTAGTATATAATTATAATAACTATTGGATGAAAATAATAATGATACTCATGTATACCTGTACACATATTATGCTTACTTTTAATTTTAAGCTAACTTTTCTGACATCAAGTAATTTCATATAAAGACAGTTCAACTGATTTTGTGAGCATTTGACTGAATTGAGTGTCGATGATGTGATTGAATTGATACAGAATTGAGTGAAGGCTAGGAATGTGAATGTAATGCAAACCATGAGTAAAATGATGTCAAACTTTGCGAACACTATCTCATGTAATTGAAACAGTTGTAGAGGTATGCAGGTATACATGAGTATCATTATTATTTTCATCCAATAGTTATTATAATTATATACTAATTTAAATGAATTATTGTAATCATTGATGTGTTTATAGATTACTTTTTCCGATAGGAATTCATATTTTGCTAATATATGTATCGATTTAGTAATTGATTTAATACGAAATGTGCAATAAATACAAACAATTAGTAAGTATTCAAGAATTGAATAAGTAATAAAACATGAATAAAAGCAAAATTGATAAAATATGAGTGCAGACAGTAATCCATATTTGAATCCACTTTCAAAATCATATGCAATCAAAACCATAGGAATTAATAATAGAAAATATGATATTCTGATGGACTTATAAAAACATACACTTATATAATGTATCAGGTTTGAATAAAGTATAAAACTTTTCAAATATTGTTTGTTATAAATATTCAACTGATTTAGTGGTAAAACTCCTTTCAATACATCCAGAATTGATAACCACTTCATCTCATCATTAGATGAGTTTAAAAATACAATTAAACTGCAAAATATAAAACTTGCTAGAGCAACTGCAACGATATCCAGGTAAACACCGAGTCCACCAAACCTTTGAAATATATCAAACCAATAGTCTTGTGGTGACCCACCATTTAATGCCATTAAGATATACGATAAATATCTGATTAAACTTATTAAATAGTATAATATAAATATATAACATTTATCATTTATCCGTGAAGTGTATGTCTTTTTGTATAACATATTCAATTGAAATACATTTTCTATGTTAGGAATTGACATAATTGGCGATAAATTCTTGTTTAAATTGAGTGGTATTTGTTTAAAAATTTTCCAATTATTATGAAACTTTGTTAAACATTGATTTTTAATGGTGAAATTTTCCATAGTATATTATATATTATTTATTAATGTACAACTATTGGACTATTGGTGATTCAAACAATTGTTTATTTGATAATAATTGTAAATTATAAGAAAATAAACTTATCATAGAATATAGATATTAATATGTTCTATAGTACTGTTGTTATCATAATAATTATTATAACATATTTGACATTTCAATAATTAACATTGAAGAATAATTAAATACTCGTTTTAATTATGTATCAACATTATGATAACATAATATTTATTACAGAATTGAATAAAACTGCAATTTATACTACAGTACAGTATATGAGGACTTTCGAGTAACATAACAAATGTAAATACAGTACTAATATTCATATAATGTTACAGTATAATTTGCATAAATTATTACTATTGTAAACATTCATTAGTATTATTTGTATAAATTATATTATGTTTAAAGAAATCAAATTGAAATATACTGTACATTTTCTAATGTGAAACAATTTTCTGTGAGAACCGATGAATTAATACGAAGAATCGACAGAATATGATACAAATCTATAGCAATCAATTCAAATAACAAATCAATGGTTAATAAAATTATTTATTACAATAATGTATAAGTCTTACTTTGAATGCATTCAATGGAGTCATAAAGAATTGGTTTCCACACGAAAAGCCTATCAGTTGCTGATTATTACCAACTCTTTCCAAAACATTTTGTAACTAAAATTAGAAAATATTGTATCAAATTTTAAAAATTAAAACTAATTTATAATAAAGTGATAACTTTTTCTTACATTGAGTTTTAAGTCTGCATTTCTCATCGATACTAATCTCGAGTGAAGAGTAAAACATATTTTGTGTAAATTATTCACAGAATTAAGTACTGAAGACGTGATGAAATTGATTGATAATAAGCTGATTATCATAATAGTGAATGTAGTAGAGCATATTATTATTACCAACACGTCTAGCCCTCCAAACAGGATCTCATGTAATAAAAATAATATTAAAGGAATACATGTGTAAAGAATTATTAAATAAATTTTCTTNAAAATAATATTAAAGGAATACATGTGTAAAGAATTATTAAATAAATTTTCTTCCAAAATGTGTTCAAATTGTTGAAATCATTAAATGTATTATTATAATCACAAAGAAGTTTAAAAACCATTTTCTGATTTATAAACTCTTTTTCTGATAAAACTTTTGTCATTTCGTAAATAGATTTGACACGAAATTTACAATAAACACAGACAATAATAAAATACTCAATTATGGCATAAATGGCAAACACTGTATAATAAACCCAATGACAATACATAAGTACAGACAATAATCCATACTTTAATCCATTTTCTAAATTATAATTTAGTATTAATAAAATAATTGCCATTAATATGTATAATATTCTCATTATTTGATAGGCGTATAGAAATGAATAGTGTATTAAATATGAGATGATAATAAATCGTTTCACATAATGTTTGTTATAAATATTCAACTGATTCAGTGGTAAAACACCTTTCAATACCTCAAGAATTGACAACCACTTCATCTCAGGTTTAGTTGAAAATGAAAATATAGCGCAAGACGTGAAAATATAAAGCGAAACACTGACTGCCATTATATCGAAATAAGATCCCATTCCTCCGAATATCTGTAAGAAATCAAACCAATACTCCTGTGGAGGCATACCATTGATCCACAACAAGATATACAATGAATATCTGATGGCACTCAACATATTATATAACATAAATATAACATATTTATAGTTATTTTTATATTTAATATTAGGATTGAATAGTAGATTCAAATCAAACATTTTTTCGATGTCAACGATTGACAAAAGTTGAGGCAATTTGTTGTTTAAGACATTATTTTGTTGATTGAATTGTTTCCAGTAATTAGCAATTAATTTATATTTTAAAATCATTTTAAGTTGTTTCATATTTAGAGTAAAGTAATTCTTACTTAACATTATGTCTGGCATTCATAAGATATCTAAAGATATTGTTTACCACTAATAAAATCTGTAAAAATAACTTATTATATAATTAACGGGAGTTTCTATTCTATAAATATATTTATTCTGTTTAATACTACGAAATTAATTAGATTTAATAATATATTATCTATAATTATCTATTACTTAAAATTAATGGTCCCCCTGTCATACACACTATTTAATAGCATATATTTTTCCCATACCAATATTAATTTATCAAAAGGTTAGCAAACATTTTATTAATTTATAGCTTACTAGTTAGTACATTATATAATTAAGATTTGTAATGAATTAAATAAGAAATACGGCAATCATTTATCTTATAGTATAAGCTTTATATTAATTATGATAATAATACAATATTATACACTTGTTAATTTGTACATAAAATAACAGTTATTTAAAAAATTGATAATTAATTCTTGAGCTCAGACTTAGAAATCGAGAGATTATTGTCTCTCAACTTCATGAGTATCTCCTCCGTGGCCCTACGTTTGACCGCCTTTTTATTAGTGGCCACAAACTGTCGGCCCCTGATGTTGAGCTGTCAGCCTGACACTCATACCTGTCATACACACCATTTCATACTTTATGTTTTCCCATTAATAAAATAATTTATTAAAACAATTTTAATTAATAATAATTTTATTGTTTTATGCTTTTAACACAAACTTATAATAATTTTAAACAAATTCTTATTTGAATCAACTGTACATTTGATTAATAAAACTTATAACAAATGAAAACAATTTGTTAAACTGATTATCGACATTAAACTGATAAAAAGAATAATTACATAAATAAAAACAATTACAGAAAAATTTTAAAACTAAAGCATAACTACAGTGAGACATGAAATGAAAAATAGTCGTAGAAATGCCACAAATCACACAAAATGAACTGATTTTCAAATCATACCTAACGTGTGCCCAGAATAGGGGTCAGAAATTTCTGCATAAGTCCAACTAATAAGTTATACTTCTGGTTAACATTCAGATTACCCTCTCGTATAAGTTTGTAGATCGGGAGGTCCGGGTGGTCGGGACTCACGCGATCGTACAGCGCCTCCAATGCTTTATTGCGTTCATCTATTCATTCAGTAAAATCACAATTAAATCAATTCAAAAAGGCATACATTTTACAAAATCAAAGTCAATGCAAACCTTGGCTGTGGGTGTCTTTGAACTGAACGTCTAATTTCTTATCTCTTTCACTGATTTGAGGCAATGGTTCGGTAGTACTGATGGCCTTATTTCGGACCAATTTGTGAGCGTTGAGGCGTTTAAACGGCGGCTCAGAAGTTGTGTCCTTTTTATTTCGACTTAAATCCAACGCAATGTTTTTCACACCACTATTCACTGGTGGGGTCAACACCTGATCCGGGCGGTCAGTGTCTGAGCCACTACTGGACGCCAATTCGCAAGTAGTGGTCACTATTTACAAAATTCAAGCCATTACTCAAACCATAAAATTTAATGAAAACTTAAACCCTTTTATAATTCATTGCAAATACAAACCATTTGTGTTTCCATTCATTTGTTTAACGACTTTATCATAGAAATTATCGCTAATGTCTGGCAACTGATCCACAGATAAGTCATATCTATCGACCACTTCTTTAGACCACTTCCTCTTCAATGAATTCATGGTCTCATTCTTCGGATTCAGATTCGTCTCAACTTTCAGACCCATTAGACTCTTACTCTTCTGAAAACAAAACACAAATTAATGACAAAATAAGTAAAAACTAAATCAATATTTGAATAATAAATACCTTTTTGTGGACTTCTTTGGACAGCAATCGTTGCAAACGGTTCAGTGTCTTCTCGTATTGGAAATTGGGATCAAATTGTCTTAAATTAGATAAATGTTTGCAGAGGAGTGCGAAAGAGGTG